GCAGGGAGTCGATCCACTAGCGACCAGCGGAGTGGCGGGGGCCAGGAGCCGAGACTCAACCCCTGCAACCACATAAAGGTGTGTACATTAGTAATGGGGAGTGTGTACGTGAGTGTCGACACGGAGTGTGTCACGCGAGGCTTCCCCATCACGAACATGATCGTTCATGTGCATCTGCCTGTACCAGGTGTGCTTGTGGGTCGAGCTCTGGTTCCTGGTCCCTTCTTTTAACCTGTGCACAACTTGAGCTTGTAGCCATTGTTTGCTGCTCCAGACTCTGTTTTTACATCGTTCCTTCTTCCATTTTCATCTCTTATTTTTTTCCAGCCTTTCTTCACTTTTTCAGTTCTTTCATTCTTTTTTTTTCCAGTTCCTTTTTCTTCCATTTTTTTCCAGTTCCTTTTTCTTCCATTTTTTTCCAGTTCCTTTTTCTTCCATTTTTTTCCAGTTCCTTTTTCTTCCATTTTTTTCCATTCCTTTTCTTCCATTTTTTCCAGTTCCTTTTTCTTCCATTTTTTTCCAGTTTCTTTTTCTTCCATTTTTTTCAGTTCCTTTTTCTTCCATTTTTTTCCAGTTCCTTTTTCTTCCATTTTTTTCCAGTTCCTTTTTCTTCCATTTTTTTCCAGTTCCTTTTTCTTCCATTTTTTTCCAGTTCCTTTTTCTTCCACTTTTTTCCAGTCCTTTTTCTTCCTTTTTTTCCAGTTCCTTTTTCTTCCACTTTTTTCCAGTTCCTTTTTCTTCCACTTTTTTCCATTTCCTTTTTCTTCCACTTTTTTTCCAGTTCCTTTTTCTTCCACTTTTTAACAGTTCTTTTTCTTCCACTTTTTTCCAGTTCCTTTTTCTTTCCACTTTTTTCCAGTTCCTTTTTCTTCCACTTTTTTCCAGTCCTTTTTCTTCCACTTTTTTCCAGTTCCTTTTTCTTCCACTTTTTTCCAGTTCCTTTTTCTTCCACTTTTTTCCAGTTCCTTTTTCTTCCACTTTTTTCCAGTTCCTTTTTCTTCTACTTTTTTCCAGTTCCTTTTTCTTCTACTTTTTTCCAGTTCCTTTTTCTTTCACATTTTTCCAATTCCTTTTTCTTCCAATTTTTTCCAGCTCCTTTTTCTTCCACTTTTTTCCAGTTCCTTTTTCTTCCACTTTTTTCCAGTTCCTTTTTCTTCCACTTTTTTCCAGTTCCTTTTTCTTCCACTTTTTTCTAGTTCCTTTTTTTACACTTTTTTTCCAGTTCCTTTTTCTCCCACTTTTTTCTAGTTCCTTTTTTTACACTTTTTTTCCAGTTCCTTTTTCTTCCACTTTTTTCAAGCCAGTTCTTTTTTTCCATTTTATATCACTGACAACTTTCAGTACGAGTTAGTTGGTGACTGATACCCGCGTAGCACCTGGGAATCTTCAGTCACCTGGCTTCTTCAGTCACCATGGCGAGTTCTGGCTTGGTTATCTATCCCAACACCTTATTTATATTTTCTTTCAGAATCTCCTTTGTTAAATGACTGGCATAATTTCCACTAGTGGACCACGCTCACCTGTATCATCACCTCCACCTGCTGCACCTGCTCCAGTATATGAGGCCTGGCCCGTATTTTTCTGCTTTAGGCATAACAAAAATGGTTGTAATCATAACCATAATTTTTAAGAAAGGGGTGGAGGGGTAAGCCAGCGGAAGGCCTCGGTCAGATGATCATAAGTTCCAGCTGTGGGTTATCATATGACAGAGACCCGCGTCAGGAAACACTTGTCCTGTTTCCTGACAAACCTTACCTAACTTAACCTCTGCTTTACTCATAAGGCTAAGGGACTGATCACCTCTATATTAATTCTACTGTCTCCAGTGTTATATTCGCCTGCATTTGACTGACGAAGGCTGTAGAACAGGTGAAATACTTCCACAATAAAGATTACTGAATGTTGCACATGTGTCTTAGTTGTCAACTTGTCGGAGTTGCATAACATCACTGTGATACTTGGGTGACACAGCAGCACCACGGTGACACAGCAGCACCACGGTGACACAGCAGCACCACGGTGACACAGCAGCACCACGGTGACACAGCAGCACCACGGTGACACAGCAGCACCACGGTGACACAGCAGCACCACGGTGACACAGCAGCACCACGGTGACAAGCAGCACCACGGTGACACAGCAGCACCACGGTGACACAGCAGCACCACGGTGACACAGCAGCACCACGGTGACACAGCAGCACCACGGTGACACAGCAACACCACGGTGACACAGCAGCACCACGGTGACACAGCAACACCACGGTGACACAGCAGCACCACGGTGACACAGCAGCACCACGGTGACACAGCAGCACCACGGTGACACAGCAGCACCACGGTGACACAGCAGCACCACGGTGACACAGCAGCACCACGGTGACACAGCAGCACCACGGTGACACAGCAGCACCACGGTGACACAGCAGCACCACGGTGACACAGCAGCACCACGGTGACACAGCAGCACCACGGTGACACAGCATACCACGGTGACACAGCAACACCACGGTGACACAGCAACACCACGGTGACACAGCAACACACGGTGACACAGCAAGCACCACGGTGACACAGCAAGCACCACGGTGACACAGCAGCACCACGGTGACACAGCAGCACCACGGTGACACAGCAACACCACGGTGACACAGCAGACACGGTGACACAGCAAGCACACGGTGACACAGCAAACCACGGTGACACAGCAAACACCCGTGACACAGCAAGCACCACGGTGACACAGCAGCACACGGAGAATCGCAGCACCACAGTTGACACAAGAACACACGGTGAACAGCAGCACCAGGTGACACAGCAGCACCTACGGATGACACAGCGACACCACGGTGACACAGCAGCACACGGTGACACAGCAACACACGGTGACACAGCAACACCACGTGACACAGCAACATTCACGGTGACACAGCAACACCACGGTGACACAGCAGCACCACGTGACACAGCAGCACACGGTGACACAGCAGCACCACGGTGACACAGCAGCACCACGGTACACAGCAGCACCCACGGTTGACACCCGCAGCACCAGTGGACACAGCGCACCAGGTGGGCACAGCAGCACCACGTGACACAGCAGCACCACGGTCACACGCAACACTCACGTACACAGCAGACCATCGGTTGACACAGCAACACCACGGTGACACAGAAAACACTGAGGTGACACAGCAACACCACGGTGACACAGCAGCACCACGGTGACACAGCAGCACCACGGTGACACAGCAGCACCACGGTGACACAGCAACACCACGGTGACACAGACACCACTGTGACACAGCAACACCACGGTGACACCCAACACCACGGTGACAGCGCAGCACTCACGGTGACACAGCAGCACCACGGGACAGAGCAGCACAGGTGACACTGCAGCACCACGGTGAACAGCAGCACCCCGTGACACAGCAACACCACGGTGACACAGCAAGACACAGACACAGAATCTGGCTGCAATTGCTTTAAGAACATGCAAAGCTGTGCAGCAGGTTTGCATGTAGTGACTCCCGAATCTTGCAAGCTTCCGGTAAAATTTTGAGGACACGGAAAAGTGGTCATCAATACAAGATTTTAGACACGAAGAAAGAATGCTTTGAGTGGGAATTTAGATTTTCAGAGAGGTTGTCTATAGCTTTTTTTTAGTCAGTTTGTGACTGAGACAACTGGAGGGAATAACCATCACAAGCCTTGTTTGGGCCTAATAAATAATAATAAAGGGAGCGCTGAGGTAGGCCTATAGGCCAACGCTGTCCCTAATCACACCCAACAATTCTCACATGTATTTTTGTCCGATCAACCGTTAAAGTTTCTCCAGTGACAATATATAAGAACATAAGAACAGAAGAAAGAAGGAACACTGCAACAGGCCTACTGACCCATGCGGAGCAGGTCCATGTCCACCCCCCCCCCGAATTAGCCCAATGACCCACCCAGTCTGGTCACCTCCACTCAAGGATGGAGCACTGCACCAGACCCAGCAGCACAAGCTAGTCAGGTTCAACTCTCACCCACTCATGTATTTATCTGACCTATTTTTAAAACTACACAACGTTTTAGCCTGAATAACTGTACTCGAGAGTTTGTTCCACTCATCCACAACTCTATTACCAAACCAGTGCTTTCCTATATCCTTCCTGAATCTGATTTTTTCCAACTTGAAACCATTACTGCGAGTCCTGTGTTGGCTGGAAATTTTCAGCACGTTATTTACATCCCTTTTATTTATTCCTGTTTTCCATTTATACACCTCGATCATATCCCCCCTAATTCTACGCCTTTCGAGAGAGTGCAGATTCAGGGCCCTCAGTCTATCCTCATAGGGAAGATTCCTGATACATGGGATCATCTTTGTCATCCTCCTCTGTAATACGGTGAACAGAACTGAGCAGCATAGTCTAAGTGAGGCCTAACCAAGGATATATAGAATTAAAGAACAACCTGATAACTTCTATTATTTATACTTCTAGATATGAAGCCAAGGATTCTGTTAGCTTTATTGCGAACACTAATGCACTGTTGTCTTGGTTTTAGATTACTGCTAACCAGAACTCCTAAATCCTCAGCAGGTCTTTTTTTTCCACTCATCTACAACCCGATTGCCAAACCATTGTTTTCCTGTATGCTAATTAAATCAGAAGGTATTCATCTTCGATGTTATCTCGAGTTCTGGCTTGTTTACATGTTTCCAACACCTCATTAATGTTTTTAATTTGTCTTTCAGCGGAAACATCAATCACATATTCTCTCAGTGTGTGTGTGTGTGTGTGTGTGTGTGTGTGTGTGTGTGTGTGTGTGTGTGTGTGTGTGTGTGTGTGTGTGTGTTTGTGTGTGTTGAACAAGAGAAGGTCGAACCAGGAAGTTTACGCTAAAACAAGAGGTGACCTCCGCTACTACAGGGCTTCTGGTGTTTACCTGGTCACATTCGCCTCTCCTGAGATAATCTCTCGATTCCCGGGCCATCCCTCGTAGTTATATACCTTAAACATTCGATAAAGAAACCTAGGGAAATGGTAAATTAAGGAGAATAACTTAAAAAAAGAGACGAACGGTAAGGGGAGAGAGAATGATTGGAGGAAGACACGACTGAGAGGTTGCATACACTAACAAGCTCCCGTTAACAGGATGATCGCCTCGTTGGCTCCAGAGATTCTCTTACCCTCAGTACCACCTTCACCACTCACCTGCAGTGTCACTACCACCTTCACCACTCACCTACAGTGTCACTACCACCTTCACCACTCACCTGCAGTACCACTACCAGCATAACACCAGTGTAAGTACCATCTTGCAACGTAAGTAACTACCTCAACACACCTTGCAATATCGATCACATGTTCTCTGGTTACTTGTTAATGACATCGAAGCCTTAATCCAGCCCGGGTTTATCTGGGACTCATATCTCTGCCATTATCATGACAGTGCTAACCCTCCTACCCCTTCCAAAGAAAAACAATTCGGAGCAACATTCAAGCAGATTTTGAAAACTAAAGAACAAAGATTAATCTGGAAGCCTCTTCCCCTGACCTTTTTTCTTAAGGTTTGGCTAACCTAGGTAAACCACACATATGTACTATATGTATGTACTATATGTATGTACTATATGTATGTACTATATGTATGTACTATATGTACTATATATGATAATTGTAGTTTATTTGTACCTATGCATAAATAAACTCATAAATAAGAGGAATCGACAGACGTCCCGCCACAGTAGGGACGGCACTGACGTAGCGCTGAATCCAGATTTGTCAACCCGAAGAGTTAGTGACCCAGGGGTAACCCAGGAAATCCACTATGTCCGGCTTTTTCCCACCGAGGTCCTGTGATCCTCTCCCCCAGGATGCCACCCACAAAACTCGGTTAGCACCCAGGTACCTACTTACTGCTAGGTGAGCAAGGGGGCAATAAGTTTACGGGAACATGTTCGTCGTTTTCACTCTTTCCGGGATCGAACCCGGGTCCTTCAGATGTGAATCACACATATGTACTCGTGTGTTAATATCTTTATTTACTTCAAGTACATAGACAAGGTATATTTACTTCAAGTACATATGCAGAGCATTTCAGACAAATTAGGTCAGTTTTGTCCCAGGGTGCGACCCACACCAGTCCACTAACACCCAGGTGCCTATTATTACTGATGAGTGAACATAGACAACCGGTGTAAGGGAACACGCCCAATGTTTTCACCCTCGCCGGGAATCGAACCCGGACACTCACCGTGTGAAGCGAGAGCTTTACCACCAGGCCACGGGGCACCGTGGCCTGGTGGTGGTTAGTCACAGGTTTCGGCCACAAGCCACTGTGTCTGCCACGAGTCACATGTGTCAGCCACGGGCCTCATGTGTCAGCTACAAGCCATGTGTGTCAGCCACAAATGTCAGTAACGAGCCTCACGTGTGAACTATAAGTCACTTGCGTCACCTATGGCTACATGTGCCAGCCACGAGTCACGTGTGTCATCTACGAGCCACACGTGTCAGCCACAAGCAGTATGTGTCAGCCATGGGCCTCGTATGTAAGCCACGAGCCACATGTGTCAGCCACCAGCTTAATGTATGAGGTGCGAGCCTCATGTGTCAGCCACAAGCAATGTGTGTGTCAGCCAGTAGCAACATGTCAGCCACGAACAACGTGTGCCAGTCACGAGTCGCATGTGTAAATAACGAGCCACATGTGTCAGTCATGAGCCACGTGTGTCAGCTACGCGTCATGTGTGTCAGCAACGAGCCACATGTGTCAGCCACGAGCCACACGTATGAACCACGAGCCACATGGGTGATTCGGGTCGATTCTTCTCTGTGAGAAATTAACCAAGTTCACTTCTGAGCTGAAAGAACCGTGATAGAAACTTTCTCCAACGAAGTCATCGAACTGCTGCATAATACCGCAAGTCAACGAACTCAGAATCAATTTATTCAAGAAAAACGCAAAACTGGCGATGATTAAGCCCGTGAGAAATATCAGGTTTCAGAACGCAATATATATATCCACATATCTTCCACACAATGTTTGCTGATGGATAACACAACACAGAAACATGGCTTTGAGAATCCACCATCCTCACCAGCTTCTGTGATTTCAAGATTGATGGACTGACCACATCGTCTCAAGGTTGAGGGACTGATTACCTCACTCTCCTCCTGTTCTTCAATATTCTCCTTTGTATGGACTGTTGAAGCCACTGTGTGGCGAAACGTTTCCTCAATAAAGATACCCAAGAGTTGCACATGTGTCTAATTTATCAAATCTTTCTTCACGGGAGACGTGTTCTTTCCTCCATCAGTTGCCACACCTTACAGTTTATTCCACTCCTGGCTGTGATCCAGTACAGTTTTTTTTTTTTGGAATTCTTTGAAGCTGTCTTCTCCAGTTGCTGTGCTGTGCATGCTATACACTGATGCTAAATTCATTATCGATGTCAGGGATGAATACTGGGAGTTGTGATGTGTCACATCATATGAACAAAACTGAAAATTTCGTGTTTTGTCTGCAATTTCATTAAATATATTGCTTTTTATATTCTCAGTTCTACGAGCAACAGTATTTGGCTCAAGACTGAGGATTTCGAACAGATTTGCTTTTTCTGGGTATAAATCTGCCACTGCTTCCATCATACACTCTCTGATCAGATCTCCATCGGTTTTCCTCTTGTACCTAACGCATAAACTACCTTCTAACTGGTCCTGGTTAAAGCGTCATTCTCAGATCTCTTGGGAAAGCAACCTGCGTTGAATTAATGCAGTTTTTTCTGAACGCTGTGTTCCTGTGAACTGGGAATAATTTGCTTTATGTTTGGTCTCAAAGTACCGACGTACATTGTACTCCTTCAAAACTGCAGCAGTTTCGTGGTATACGACACACAAGGCTTTATCACCTGCCTATGCAAAGAAGTACTTTACGCCCCTCAGTCTTCATTAAACTGGCGGCGTCACTCTGCACTATTCTTTACCTTTTTCCTTCCATAACAGAAGGGTATATCTGAAAAATGAAAAGATTAGAGCTAAAATTTGAACAAATTTCGACACAAATTATTACCGGCAACAAAATCCTTAACTTTAACTGATTGAAAATGAGAGTTTATTAGATTTACTATTTATAAATATTTTATGTTGCTGCGGGCCACATAAAATCTTGTGGCTGACCGCATGTGGCCCGCGGGCCGCATGTGGCCCGCGGGCCGCAGTTTAGGGACCCTGAACCAAAATGTTGCTTCAGGTACACCTCTCCTAGTGTAGGTGGACGGGAGAGAGACATGGGACTTTCCCTAGTGTGGGTGGACGGAGAGAGAGACATGGGACTTTCCCTAGTGTGGGTGGACGGGGAGAGAGACATGGGACTTTCCTAGTGTGGGTGGACGGGGAGAGAGACATGGGACTTTCCCTAGTGTGGGTGGACGGTGAGAGAGACATGGGACTTTCCCTAGTGTGGGTGGACGGGGAGAGAGACATGGGACTTTCTCTAGTGTGGGTGGACGGGGAGAGAGACATGGGACTTTCCTAGTGTGGGTGGACGGGGAGAGAGACATGGGACTTTCTCTAGTGTGGGTGGACGGAGAGAGAGACATGGGACTTTCTCTAGTGTGGGTGGACGGAGAGAGAGACATGGGACTTTCTCTAGTGTGGGTGGACGGGGAGAGAGACATGGGACTTTCCCTAGTGTGGGTGGACGGGGAGAGACACGGGACTTTCCCTAGTGTGGGTGGACGGGGAAAGAGACACGGGACTTTCCCTAGTGTGGGTGGACGGGGAGAGAGACATGGGACTTTCCCTAGTGTGGGTGGACGGGGAGAGAGACATGGGACTTTCTCTAGTGTGGGTGGACGGGGAGAGAGACATGGGACTTTCCCTAGTGTGGGTGGACGGGGAGAGAGACATGGGACTTTCCCTAGTGTGGGTGGACGGGGAGAGAGACACTGGGACTTTCCTAGTGTGGGTGGACTGGGGAGAGAGACACGGGACTTTCCCTAGTGTGGATGGACGGGGAGAGAGACATGGGACTTTCCCTAGTGTGGGTGGACGGGGAGAGAGACATGGGACTTTCCCTAGTGTGGGTGGACGGGGAGAGAGACATGGGACTTTCCCTAGTGTGGGTGGACGGGGAGAGAGACACGGACTTTCCTAGTGTGGGTGGACGGGGAGAGAGACACGGGACTTTCCTAGTGTGGTGGACGGGGGAGAGAGACAGGGACTTTCCCTAGTGTGGGTGGACGGGGAGAGAGAGACACGGGACTTTCCCTAGTGTGGGTGGACGGGGAGAGAGACACGGGACTTTCCCTAGTGTGGGTGGACGGGGAGAGAGACACGGGACTTTCCCTAGTGTGGGTGGACGGGGAAAAGACAGGACTTTCCCTAGTGTGGGTGGACGGGGAGAGAGACATGGGACTTTCCCTAGTGTGGGTGGACGGGGAGAGAGACACGGGACTTTCCCTAGTGTGGGTGGACGGGGAAAGAGACACGGGACTTTCCCTAGTGTGGGTGGACGGGGAGAGAGACATGGGACTTTCCCTAGAGTGGGTGGACGGGGAGAGAAACGTGGAACTTTCCCTAGCGTGGGTGGACGGGGAGAGAGACACGGGACTTTCCCTAGTGTGGGTGGACGGGGAGAGAGACATGGGACTTTCCCCTAGAGTGGGTGGACGGGGAGAGAAACGTGGAACTTTCCCTAGCGTGGGTGGACGGGGAGAGAGACACGGGACTTTCCCTAGTGTAGATGGACGGGAAGAGAAACGTGGAACTTTCCCTAGTGTGGGTGGACGGGAAGAGAGACACGGGACTTTCCCTAGTGTAGGTGGACGGGGAGAGAGACATGGGACTTTCCCTAGTGTGGGTGGACGGGGAGAGAAACGTGGAACTTTCCCTAGTGTGGGTGGACGGGGAGAGAGACAGGGGGCTTTCCCTAGTATGGGTGGACGGGGAGAGAAACGCGGAACTTTCCCTAGTGTGGGTGGACGGGGAGAGAGACACGGGACTTTCCCTAATGTGGGTGGACGGGGAGAGAGACATGGGACTTTCCCTAGTGTGGGTGGACGGGGAGAGAAACGTGGAACTTTCCCTAGTGTGGGTGGACGGGGAGAGAGACACGGGACTTTCCCTAGTGTGGGTGGACGGGGAGAGAAACGTGGAACTTTCCCTAGTGTGGGTGGACGGGGAGAGAGACATGGAACTTTCCCTAGTGTGGGTGGACGGAGAAAGAGACAGGAACTTTCCCTAGTGTGGGTGGACGGGGAGAGAACTGGGAACTTTCCTAGTGTGGGTGGACGGGGAGAGA